CTCATGTGGCCAACCACAGTTCAAGTCCTGGACCTGGTGACTTGAAAATCATGCCTGGCATGTGTGTGTGTATGTGTGTGTGTGCGCGTGCCCCAAACCTAGGAGTAGAATGGATGAAAGGGGATTGTGGAGTGGCCATCCCCCCTCACTGTCTCTCTCTTCTCCAGCAAGCACATGTGCCCTATGACAAAAACTTTAAAAAAAAAAAAAAAAGAAAAGAAAAAAAAGAATGGGGCTGTTCAGGGGACCTGGGAGCGTCCAGGTCACTCACTTCTCCTCACAGGACAGGGCTTCTGGGGACACTCCAGTCCTACAGAGATCTTCGGAAGCTCTAGCGCTCTGTCAGATGTGTTATGCATTTTATTTTCTGTATTTTCTGGTGCTTTGACATGTTTTGCAGGCCGGGGAGAGACTGACTCTAGATCAAGGTCAGCTAATTCCCAGAGGTGGCAAACTGGCCTGTGAACATCCCCTTCATTGCCAACAGCCAGCCCCGAGGCCTCACCTCCTGTAGGCCGCCTTACGTGTACTGGGTTCCTGCAGTTCGGACGCTACCCCTCTGCTCTAATTCCCCTGGGGTGGGTACCAGAGAACTAGGAGCTACCCCTACAGCCAGAGCTCACCGTGGTTATTCAGCTACCCAATCCAAAGCCTGCTCATTGGGCCTTCCCTGCCTTGCCCCTTCCTTCCCACAAAAAGTATGATACTCACCGATACTCACCTCTGCTTTCTAGTAACCTGGTGTGACATGGTAGCCCCTTCCTTCTGGGGGCTGTAAATAACAAACTACTCTTTCTTTCTTTCTTTTTTTTTTTAATGATTTTTAGATTTAATTTTATTTGTGGGATCAGCAGTTAGCATAATGGTTATGTCACTGAACTCCCATGTAGTCAACCGTGGTTCAAGTCCTGGACCCAGTGGCTTAAAACTCATGTCGGGCACGTGTGCGTGTGTGCCCAAGATCCCAAGAGAAGAATGGAGGAGAAGGGATTGCAGCATGGCCATCCCCTCTGCGAGGTGATTTCTTGCTTTCTGTCTCTTTGTCTCTCTCTGTGTCTTTCTGGTGAGCACACGCACCCTATAGAAAAAAAATTATTTTATTTGTTGTTATTATTCCATTTGAGCAGAGAGAGTCAGAGACAGAGAGGGAGAGAGAGAGGGAGATGGAGAGGGAGAAGGCAAGCCACTAGGTCTAGGACTCAAACTGGTCACTTAGGTGGGAGTTCAACACCTTAACCACCATGCCACCTGCCAGCCCCCAACAAAGTATTCTTTCAAAGGCAAGTGTTTCCTGGCCTTTTGGTCTCACCATACCTGAGTGAAAATAAATACTGGGTTCATTTTTTAAAGGTTTTTCCGTAGGGCGCATGTGCTTGCCAGAGAGAGACAGTGAGAGGGGAAGTGAGAAATCACCCTTTCGGAGTGGATGGCCACACTACAATCCCTTCCCCTTCATTCTTCTCTTGGGATTTTGGGCATGCGCACACATACCTGGTGTGATTTTCAAGCTGCCGGGTCCAGGACTTGATCACACTTTGGCCATGGGGAGTCCAACTCCTTAATTACCATACCACCTGCTGGCCTCCCAGTTTAATTGCAAAACACAGGGGGAAAGTGGACTAGTCCTATAGCCTAATGGTTAAGGAGGCTGGGTTCCACATGGCTTATCACATGATTTGAGTCCCAGATCCAGCAGCTTGAAGACACCCCAGGGGGGTCAGGAGGTGGCATGGTGGTTAAGATACTGGACTCCCACATGGCAAAGCTGGTTTGCATCCCTGGGGTGGTAGCTTGCTTTCTCATGTTCTCTCTTTAGTGAGCACACATGTACACATGCAAATTAAAAGATAATAATGATAACAATAAATAATTTTTTAAATAAAAGAAAGAAAAATACTCCAGGTCACATGTGCATGTGTGCTCAAGATCCAAAAAAGGAGAGATAGAGAAGGGATTGCAGCTCAACCACACCCCCACAAGGGGTGCTTTCCTAAAGAGAGCAGAGGAGGGGCGGGCTCAGGCCCCTGCTGGCTGCTGCTGAAGCTCACCCCTCCTGTCACAGGAAGGCGGCCCCTGTGCTCCTCCCCCTTAGCCTTCTGCGTCCACATTCCTCTTGCTTTAAGGCTCCTCTTTTCTTCCTAGTTCCTGCCTCTTCCACCCTTTTCCCTAAGGCCCAATGGCCAGGTCTGGGTTCATGGCGAAGCCAGGCCTAGGACCAGATCAAAGAGGTAACCTATTTCATGTCTTCCATTTCCTCTGCCTCGCACATCGGTGCCTGCTCCAACGCGCCGATGCTCTCGGGAGTACGTATTCAGCTCCAGAACTTTTTCCAGCCACAGGGTGTGAAAACGCCTTCACGTGCAGTTGAATCTCCCACGCTGTCGATTTGGCAGGCTCAGCCGGGAGACTGGGCTGGGGACAAGGCCCTGGAGTGTGGCAGGGGCTGCCCTGCTCCTCTCTAACCCACTGTCTCCCCAGCTCTCCAGGCCCTTGTGAGAGGAGCAGCCTGTCAGCCCAGGGACACTCAGGCACCAGTCCCTGTCCTTCCTCTCACCTATACAATTAATTTATGCAACTTGAGTCATCAGCTCAGTTTTCACAGATTTATGGTCTTGCTCTTCTGAGCAAGAATAGTCTGGAATGTTAATAAGAATAACAATATGATGGCATGGGACAGGGACAACACTGACCAAATGGACAGAGCATGTGACATGGACTCTTTTTTCAACCACAGAGAAGGCATGCAAAAGGGTTTGGCTGCAGCAGGAGAGGCAGCTTTAGGGAGGAAGAGAACGCCCAGAAAGAGAGCCTGACTGAGCGCCTGCAGAGCCAGGCTGAGATCACAGGGCACTGCTCACTCCGAAAGGTCTGAGAAGGGTGTGGCCACTGTGCACCAGGGCACCTACACGCTGGAGGCCTGACATACAGGGACAGGGAATGGGGGAGTCGTTGCCAGTGGCAGTGAAGAGCACCTGAACGTGGAATGGGGAGTGGGAAGAAGTAGACCCCACAGACATTGTAGAGGAGAGGTGGTCCGGTGTTTTTGCAGACTTTTTAGAATCCCTAGTTTTTTGTATGTTTGTTTGTTTCGTTTTGTTTTAAAGATGTTTGTTATAGGACATGTGCATTTGCTGGAGTGACAGAGAGAGACAGAAAGTGAGAATCACCTTCTAGGGAGGATGCCACACTGCAATCCCTTCTTTTCCATTCAGCTCTTGGGATTTTGAGCACACACATGTATCCTGTGTGAGTTTCATGCCGCCAGGTTCAGGACTCAAACCATGGTCTGCCATGTGGGAATCCAGTGCCTTTAACCACTATGCTACCTACTGACCCACAGTCCCTAGTATTAAGGGCATTATTTATGCAGCTGAAGGTGCTGCAGACCACCTGGTCTCACATGCTCAATAATTCATGGAGGGCTGCAGTTCGGTTTCCTGCTAGGGCTTTGCAGCACCTTCTCTTGTGTTGCCGCCGACAGTCCTGCATGGTGGGTGGTGACTCTTCCAAATGGCTGAAGGTCACAGACTTTGGAACTGTTCCCAATGGTCTCAACTTTGACAATGTAATTTGTGAATGCCCAAAGGCCTCTGCATTATCAGGTTTAGTGATGGTTTGGGATGCAAACAGGAAGATAATGTCAAATATGATTGCTGATTTTAAGCCCAGGTAACTAGGACAAGACAGAGGGACAGAGGGGAAAGAGGAGAGTTACTGAAGTGAAGTAATGAACTCTGTTTGGACAAGTTGACGTTGAGGTGCTAAGGACCATTCAAGAGATAATATTTGCATGAACAATGCTGAGAAAAAGTCTCTGGACACCATAGCTGCTCTGGTCCATCCTGCACATTGATACTGGATTGCTACTCACCCCCATACATCACAGTCTGCATGAACACATGGGGAGTTGGCAGAGCTCCCCTAAATGAAGTTAGAGGTATTTTCTTTTTTTCATTTATTTCTTCCATGAGAGAAAGAGAGCCAGAGATAGACAGGAAGGCATCCCCAACAGGGTCCTGGACCCACAACCCCCTTCTTCCAGTCCTCCAGTTTGTTGGATCTTGGACACTTGCATATTACGGGTTGACTGGGCTGATGGTTTGAACTGTGGTTGTCACCACGTGGTATCTGGCTTCTTCTGAGCAGCACATTACCACCACATCCTAAAGTTAGCACACTTTACCCATTTTTGAATTGGGTCGTTTTTTCATTGTTGAATTTTAGGAGTTCTTTATGTATTCTGGATAGCAATTCCTTATGAGAGAAATTATTTGTAAATATTTTGTCCCTTTCTGTGGGTTGCCTATTTATTCTATTGACAGTGTCTTGTTTGTTTAGATTTTTGCCATAGGGTGCATGCACTCATCAGAGAGAGACAGAGACAGGAAGAGAGGGAAAGTGAGAAATCGTCCTCTTAGAGGGATGGCCATACTGTAATCCCTCCTCCTCCATTCTCCTCTCAGGGCTTTGGGCATGCACGCACATGCACACATGTTTCTCAAGCCATTGGGTCCAGGACTTGAACTGTGGAGTCAGCCATATAGGATCTAGTGCCTTAACCAACATACCACCTGCTGTTTTGACAGTGTCTTTTTTTTTTTTTTTTTTTTTTTAATGGTGAAAAAATGTGTATTTAGAATTAGCCAGCTGGACTTTAGATGATCCCAATTTTGTTGGCAACGCAACGAGCATCGTAATCGGGAGCCAGTCGCACATACGCCTTCTTCTCTCCATCAGGCCTGGTTAGAGTGTTGACCTTGGCCACATCAATATCACAGAGCTTCTTCACAGCCTGTGTGACCTGGTGCTTGTCAGCCTTGACATCCACGATGAACACAAGTGTGTTGTTGTCCTCTATCTTCTTCATGGCAGACTCGGTTGTCAGGGGGAACTTGATGATAGCATAGTGGTCAAGCCTGGGGGAGAAGCAAAGTGAGGTGACCTAAGTCCAGTATTAGAAAGGACAGGTCCTCATTGGAGCCCAAGACCAGGAGAGCTGAGGTGCATCAGACACTGAGAAGCAATCATTTCTGTCAGACTTTGGTCGCTGAATAATGTCATCATTTGCACCCTGAAACGGGAGGGGCAGGAGCTTCCTTCTTCGCTTTCGGCGCCATCTTGGCGAAAAAGCTGACAGTGTCTTTTGATGCACACATTTAAAATTTTTTCATGAAGTTCAGTTTTTCTGTTTTTTTCTTTTGTTTCCTGTGCCTTCAGTGTCATATCCAAAAAATCAATGACAAATCCAATGTCATGAAGCTCTTACCCTATGTTTCCTTGTAAGAGTTGTATGGTTTTACATTTAGGTCTTTGGTCTATATTGAGTTAATATTTGTTTTAGGTAAGAATTCCACTTCATTCTTTTGTATGTGCATATTCAGTTTCTCATCACCATTTGTTGAAAAGATTGTCCTTTCCCCATTGAATGGATTTGGTTCCCTGTCAAAAATCATTTGACCATGGTTGTGGTATCTATTTCTGGGCTTTCAAACACCCTATTCTATTGGTCTGTATGTCTACCTCGATGTTAGCAACATGCTGTTTTTGATGATTATAGATCAATGGTAGGTTTTGATGGCCTCTTTTTTTTAACATTGTAGTTTTTTTTATCATTATTCATGATAGGGAGAGTGTACATACACAAGTAAGAGAAAGACGCGCACTTGAAGGGCTCTCATCACACTGCAATCCCCTTCATCCAGTTCTGCAGCTCCTCGGGATCTCGGGTGTGCACATGTACCCAGTGTGCTTCAGGCTGAGCAGACTGAGAAACAGGCCAGCCTTGTGGCTTCCAGCTCTGTAGTCTGGTGTGCTACCAACCACAGTACCTAGATGGGACCGGCCCCTCTCATAAGGACACTAATCTCATTTACAAGGGCTCCAAACTCACAGCTTAATCATCTCCCAAAGGCCCTACCTTCATGACATCAAGATTAAGTTCTCAGCACATGAATTCTGGGGGGACTGAAACTATTCAGTTCGGTAACAGCAATTAACTCCCTTACAGAGAGTATTAATGCATTTGGAAAAGTCAAGAATGGCCTCATTAGGGAAAG